TAACACCATTCCAAAAAGGATTCCCTAAGGGTCCAAGTACCCAAGCAACAGGGCTTGAAGCCCCCAACACTATCATTTGAATAGTGTACCTGCAGCTGTGGCTGCAGTGCTACAGCATAAGATGAGCTTTGACAAGGGCTGCGTGGTTCGGAACCCCAAACCGTAAACCATACACCCTTAACCCTAAACCCCACGAAATCTAGGAGTCAAGATGCTAAACCCTCAGCAAAGCCCTCAAAGTTATCCCTAGAGCTTAAGGTCTTAAGCCTTAAAAACTTAAGGCCTTAGCCTAAGTATGTTATCTAGGGCTCTTTTTTTTCCGGTGATATTGAGGGGTTGATAAATAAACCCCATCCCCTTAATAGGGATTATAGGGATCCTAATATTAAGGCCCCTACAAGGAGGAGGTTTAGTAATTAGATCTACATTAAGCTTAAAACCTTAAACCCTTTCCCTTTGGACTTGAGCCCCTAAAATCCAAGCCCCAGACCCCTACGTAATTGATTGACACTCAGGTTTGGGGTCCAGTTCTCCGATGCCATCCATGAAGCCGGATCGGCGCCCTTCAGATACATCGTAAGTCGATGACGCGTACCTAGAGTAACCAATGTGCGTGTATTAAAGGGTATTGCACCACCTAAACCCTAATATCTGGGCGTTTTTACAGTTTTTAGGGTTCTAGGTCGAGGAGGGAGACGTTCCCACCCTAATTCCTTTTCAGGATATCACTTCAAATCATAATCAGAGCTATAATTAGTCTAAACTCCTAAAAGGTTTTTAGGGGGTTATATAGGGGACGACCATAGGGGATATTAAGGGCGATACTAGGAGTTTAGACTATAGCTCATATAACTTCGAATCATAATCTGATGTTTCTGGTCCCCCTAAACCCTAAACCCTAAACCCTGGTCATGTACCACAACCCTAAACCCAAGTTCGACTTTCATAGAGCCTGGGAATGTCTTCAGGAGTTTGATGTCTATGCTCTTGACAAGCCCCTACCCTAAGGCTCCTAGGACTATTTGGGACCTTCTGGGGAAGGTTTGGGCTTTGGGGGCTAGGGTTTAGGATCCCATTATGAGGGTCCAAGAGCCTGAGGGTAATGAATAAGGTTTAGGGTTTAGCCCGTCCAAGCAGTTTGGAGTTTACAGTTTAGTGACCATCACAGATTCGGTAGTTGGCAGTCCGTTTTTTCTTAAAACCTACCTAGTTGATGTAAAAATACACCAATTATACGTGCCATAGCAAGAGTTACGCTAGACATACTTAGCTTATAAGTACAGCTACGTAGTAGGCTATACAGCGAGTACAACCGACCTTCTTGGCATTCTATCCAAGATGAGGCTGCTGTTGGGATTTTCGACCGAAGATTGAAGGTTTCCCTTAGGCCTAAAAGCCAAACCCCTACCTGTAGTCCCAATTACCGAGTTTAGGGTTTAGGGTTTAGGGTGGTTACCTACAGATTCGTAGCAATTACCCCTTGATTAGTTTAATAGGCACAACCCATCAAACTGTAGGTAATTGGGGTTACAGGTAAACCCTTCAGTTTTAGGATGCTAGAATACAAGTCCTCATGAGGGGGCTGGGCTGCTTGGCAGTTAACCTTTCCACTGTTAATACATACCCTAAGGCTCCTAGGATTATTTAGGGCCTTCTGGGAGAAGGTTTGGGCTTTGGGGGGCTAGGGTTTAGGACCCCATTATGAGGGTCCAAGGGCCTTAGGTTAGACCCTTCTAAAAGCGCAGAGAGTGGAGCGCTCCTGGCGGCTAATTTTTGCTAGTCAGTCAAGATTCTGAGTGTTTAGGACTCCCTGAACCCCCAAAGTATGTAAAATAATGGCCTTTATGGCTATATTTAGGTGTTTTGGGCTATTATTTTACCTGCTTTTGGGGTTTAGGTCGTGGACAAGGGAGCCTGGAGCCTGAAATGCATTAAGGCTTGGGTAGCCGGTTTCGGGGTTGCGGTCAGGGTTTAGTGTTCAGAGTTCAAGCTTTAGGGCTTAGGTTATAGCGTAAGTATATAAAAACCTAATAGGGGATGAGAGTACATGTGTACATACTATCCTTCCCAAGTAGGAACCACAGGCAGTCCTGCAATCGGATTCAAAGCTAATCCAAAGCGTGTTGAAGCGACCGGTGATCGGTTGGCGGGCTGACATGTGAAAATGAACGTGCAGGAGTTCCGCATTCCTTACTTGAACTAGGTTTAGTCGAAACCTAGACCGCAAAAACATGTAGAACAGCCGCCTTTTTGGCTCTTTATGGATGTTTGTCCATTGTTTTACCCGCTGTTCGAGTCCACCAACTGGATAGTATAGCACACTCCAGTCAATTGACACCTCGGCCCTACAAGGCTACTGTCCTTTTACCCTATAAACCCTAAACTCTATACCTGCGTGGGGGTTTCCCAAAGTAAGGGCTACCTTCTTGAGGATCCCCATAATATGGAGTCTCGTGTCTTGAGGTCTACCCTAAGGCTCTTGGACCCTCATAATGGGATCCTAAACCCTAGCCCCAAAGCCCAAACCCTAGGAGTCTTAGGGTATATGGGGGTCCCCGCATTTTGGGAAACTACCCATGTTCTCTTCCATGTTAGTTTGAGGGGGAACCTGGAGGTCCATGGTAATGAAACCGGCTTAGGGTTTAGGGTTGAGGGTTTTCACCGGGCTCAAAAGATGAAATGAAGGTAGGTGGGTTAAAGGATCCCTAGTATAGATACTCTACTATATTGGGCTTATATCTCCCTTACCCCACCTTCCTTTGCCCCACCTTTTGAGCCCTCTGACGGTTTAGCGTATCATTGTATCAGGGCTTACTGAGTGTATAGCCCTGGTAAAGTCCCGTAACTACACGTACCCTGAACCCCAAAACCCTGGGGTATCGTACTTTTGTTACTGAGGTTGAAACTCCTGTCAGATTTCTGTCTTTAGAAATAAGGCGCTTGTTCTACAGACTTGTGGGTCTGTAGGTAGCTCTATTTCTCTTACCGTCACAAGGCGCAGTATATGCTTCAGATAGAAGCAAGTTTGCATTCCTGAGGGTCCTGAAATGGGAATTTCCACGAATAAGGGGCCCCAATATCCCAATAGAGCATGATCCTTGTTACAGGGACCCCCCCAAAAAAAGGGACCCATTATTTTTGGAAACCATAAACCCGAAAGCTTATGTAACCCAGATCAAACCCCCATATAACCGCTGTGGTCCCCTTCCTAATTTTGGGAAACCCCCATTTCTATAAAATGGCCGGGGCTTTGAGGTGTTCAAGCTCGTACTGGAGCCGGAGTGGCTGGAGGTGTTTCAAGGTTCAGGGTTTAGGGCTTAGGATAAGCCATTCTACTTGGGGGTTACGGGGTCGGGGGTTTCGGGTTTCTTGTTTGAAGTGGCTTGCAGCCCAATAAGGAAGGCGCAATGCCAAGCCCTGACCCGTGAAAAGCCTCTAAAGTCGTTTACCCTGAACCCTAAGCCCTAAACCCTAAACCATAAACCCCAAGCCCTAAACCTTTGAAGACAGTGAGTTTTCAGAGCCCCTCATCCCTGAACCTTAGATCTCTATATGAGCTATAGTCTAGATAAATTCCATAAAGGGGGTTTAGGGCTTAGGGTTTAGGGTTTAAACTTTTGAAAGGGGGTTATATAGGGGAGTTCTGAAAGGGTTATGATGGGGGATACTGGGAGTTTAGATTATGGCTCATATGAAGCCCAAAAGCTGAAGGTCTTCTGGGTCTAAGGCATAGAACCCCCAACAATAAGCCCCAAACCTTGGAGTTGAAACCCTAAACCCTAAACTCCAAACACCAAACCCTCAGGGTTTAAGTTTTAAGGTTTAGGGTTAGGATTTAGGGACACCAAACCCTAAATCTTTAACCCAAACCCCAAACACCAAACCCTGAACCCCGAACTTGGAGACCTAAACCCTTAAACCTTGTCCCTAAACATCCAGAAGCAACCCCAGTATCCCAAGCCCAACAGAAGCCCAGGGCCGAATACCTTGGCATGTACATAGAAGGAGATGAGCCATAGTCTAAACTCCTAATTAGATCTACTTAGTATCCCCCTTGATAATCCCTATAGTAGGCCTTTATGTAATCCCTTATATAACCCCCCTTTAGGAGTGTAGATTATGGATGATATAAGGTTTAGGGCTTAGGATTTGGGTTCATTGTTTAGGGTTTAGGCCCATAGACCTCAAGCCCAAAAACATATCCAGAATAATGGTCAGTCTGTATCATGTTGCATGAGTTTCGGGTTTTGTTTACCTTATTTTTCTGGGGTGCAGGTAGTCATATGGGAGTTTATGAATATGATATCTGCGCTCCTCTAATTTCTAAGGAACCTCCCTGTCACAGTCCTTTGCTGATCCCCGTACCTCCCTATGGGGTGTAGGGTGGAGGGTTTAGAGGTTTAGGGGTTTAGGCTTTAAGGTTTGGGGTGCAGGGGTTAGGGTTTAGGGGTTAGGGTTTAGGGGTTTAGGGTTTAGGGCTTTAGGGTTTGAAAGCCCCCTAAGTTTTGAGCATTCCCCCTTCACAATAGACCCAGGTGCTGAATCACTGGGTACTCCGACCCTATTCTTCCCCCGAACCCCGAACCCTAGACCCTCAATCCTACACCCTATAAGCCCTAAACCTGAAATCCTGAACCTTAAACCGTACATCCCAAATCCCAGACCCTAAGCCTGACATCCTAGAAACCAAACCTTGAATCCTACCTCCTTAACCCCAAGTCCCAAATCCTGAATCTTAAATCATAGAGTTTAAGACGATCTAAATCCTAAACCCTATATAACCCTATACAATTATAAAACCCCTATTTAGCCCCTACGTAACCCACATAAAATCCCCTTTGAAGGGGCCCTACTTGGAGGTCCATGGTACTTATAACCTACTTAGTAACTGTAGTTACAACCCAATTATATCCAGGGTAACTGTAGTTATGGAACTNNGGTTATAACTACAGTTAGCAAGTAGGTTATGAGTACCATGGACTTCCAAGTACAGTGCCAAGGCTGCCATCGCCCTACATCAGTCCTGAGATCTTGGAAGTGGGCTTCGGAACATCAGAGGCTAAGCATTTACGGTTTAAGGCTTAGGGTTTAGGGCTTAAGGTTTAGGGTTTAGGGGTTTAGGGTTTAGGGATTTAGGGTTGAGGGTTTAGAGTTCAGGGTTTAGGGTTTGGAGTTTATAAAGGGTCTAGGGTCGA